TCCCAGATATGATTAGGAACTTGGCGTGATTGTAGAAAATTCCGAGTTTCTGACACTTTTTTGTCATTTCAGAAATGGTTGGAACAGCATTAGTGATTACAGTAGAATACGTTTCACCTAAATCGTCATCTTTTTCATTATCGCTTAAAGCTGTAGATGAGGTTACGGAGTCTATAATTTTCTCATCGGTCAACATTTCTCTTGTAAGAATGCCATTATCAATGCTTACATATTCGAAGAAATTGAAATCACTCATATTCTCTTTCTTTATACTTTTCTCACTTTATACTTTTCTAACCATTCGTTAAGTGGAATTTCATCGTCTGGTTCATAATCATTTTCTTTTCTTACAAATCCCCCATGTTTAAAGCAATTTGCAATGTTTTTTCGGCTAACTTTTTGCCAAGCTCTATGAATGAAATTGACTGCATCTAAGAGATTTATAGAAAATGTTGTGTGAATTTAAATCAAGTATTTCATTGAAAAACAATTGACAATCATAAAACCCATAAATATTGTGGAATGTAGTTTAATTTGTAAATATCATTGGAAAAAATATGTAATAAAACAAAAAAAAAGAATGTCCGGATTAAAAATAATTTGAAATGTAAATTGATGGTTTCTTAAATCTATTTTCTCTGTGATCTCCTTCAACTTCAAGATATCTTCTCAACCTTTTTCCAACTTCCTGTAGGGTAACTGTTTTCAACACCTCTCTTGAAATGCACATGTTGGTTATTTTTTTTGTTTTAGGTGTTTTAGGTAGATGTGAAGGAGTTCTATAAACAAATTTCTTTTAGAGAAACAAGATTTTAGATTATAAATAAAGTAGATAAATAAAAATATAAAGGTGTCAAGTCTGGCGGCTTAACCATTCTATTGGTCCATCATTTCCCATCCACCTATCTGCAAAATGGATGTTTTGAAGTATCGCCGTATAATTTGTGCCTTATATGCGGGGTTCCGTCCTGCTGAAACCATCTGTTGGCACGTAGCTGCAGTGAAATATTTTCGAGCAGAAATGGCAATTGGTCACGCAGAAAATTTTAAATAACCTGCGCTATTAAGGATTCCTTCGTAAAACAAAGGTTCAATTTAAATCCCGTTTGTGTGGTTTCTTGGACGGGTCATTTTTTTTTAAATAAAAGTTTATCGCATCCCTAAGGGCTACCTAGGTGTGACAAAATATTGGTATATTTCTGCGAAAAAAGTTGTCGATGATGTCAGTAACGCCATTTCTGAATTTAGTATATTTTTGCTTTTCGCTGAAAGTGTACCTTAGAGCATCACATTTGAGACCCTAGCTTTAGAATTTAATTGTCAATTTTCGTTTTGGCACCGAGAGTGAGGCCAGGGTAAACCACCACCCCAAAGGATGACCTACACCACGAAGCAACTGTCAGAAGGACAGTAAATAAGCTTCGGAGTGAAAGGCCAGGCAGCCACCTCCCCCCAACTTTGCCAGCAGAAGTTGCAGCCATCATCCGAGAAACCAAAGCTAAGAAAGCCCCTGGAAGCGATGGAATCACCAACAAAATGCTGAAGAACCTGCCGAGAAAGGGACTGGTAGGACTATTTTAAGGACTGGTAATTTTCCAAGCATCTGGAAGCACTCGGAAGTCATCATGCTCCCGAAGCCCAAGAAAAACCGGATTTTCCCCCAAAACTACAGGCCGAAAGTAGCCGAAAGGGCTATACTGAGGAGACTTAAAGAGGAAACGAGCGAGCTTGATTTGCTTCCGCCTGAACAGTTTGGATTCCGAGGAAAGCATTCCACGGAACTTCAGCTGCTCAGGATAGTAGAAAG